ATGACATATGATATGTCATAATATTGATTTTTTCATACATCTAATCTGTTGGAACAGAGGAAAAAAAATAATTTTGAAAAAAAGCAGGAGTACTAAGATTTTTCTTCAGGGTTTTGCCTACTGTGTTACACTAAACCCAGTTAAACAGGGCTAATATTGGTCTTTTTATAATGAAACAGTTTATCAGTGTTCTACAAGTATGGACAATATCCACAATATGTTCAGAAAACCATATTTGTCATGATAACAGAATATATTGTCATATTGTCCAGCCCTAATGCCATCATATTGCCCATCCTAGAGTGAGGTTACTAGCGAAGCTGCAGCATCAAGTTTAGATGGCTGTTCTGCTTTTTTTTGTGTGTGTTTTCCTCTCAACTTTCACTGTTGCCTGTGGCAGAAAGCCGTCCACCTCCAGCCTATGATTAGCATGTCTGTTTAATAAGTAATTTACTTTCAAAAAGGCTGGTATTAACATTCCACTTAGATTTGGAGTGTGCTGCATATCTGCCTCTGCGAAAGCCCCCTGAAGGCCTGCTTGAAAATGAGCCCATTTTTGCCAGCCATGTCCGGATAATTTTCTTTTAATGTGTTTGTCATAAAGCGAAATGGAACATTTGCTCTCGCCCTGCTCGCAGTGAATCGGAACTGAACGTGTGAGTGAAGCAGAGCTGAAATAGAAATGTAGAGCGTCTCCTCTCTCAGTGATGGGATTAAAGCAGGCGCTTTTGTTCAGCTCAGCTGAGATGTTCATTTGCTTTGCTCGAAATTTGCTTATTTTTTGCCCTCCGGTGAGTTTGGTGCCGACTCGCCTTCCCACGTTCTAACATTACCATTAAGTATTTCATTTGTTTTGTACGAGAGTGTACAGGGCCGTTTACATGCGTCAGAGCATCATGATGGATGTGAAGGATGTGAAGGTGGTGATTGAACTGCATTGATTATGGGATGTTAGAGTCCATTACAGCATTCACTGAAGTATTTTTGAACCAAAACAAAATTCTCCAAAATTTAATTTTAGTATTTAAAGGCTGTTCTTTGTCCGTATTTCACCATCATGTAAACAGTTCCTCCAGTCACATTTGTGCATTCAGGGTATTTTTAAATAATAAATTAATAACAAATGATATTAGAAATTTAACAACAATAACAATACATTTGTACGAAATATTATCAAAAGACTCGTGATAAAAGTTCCCCGTTCAATCTTTTCCTAAAGAATCATCATCAAGATGTATGCCCCTACCCTAATGAAGTTATTGAAGTTAAGGATTTATTCTAATTGTTTTGGTTGAAATCAAATTCTTGGGGTATTTTCAAATGTAAAAGTGATAAATAAAAAACAAAGTTGTTTTTATTGTGTATATTCCACCATGTAAACAGTTCCTGCAGTCACATTTGTTAATTGAGTATATTTAAATAATAACTTTATTACTACTACTACTACTGCTGCTACTACTACTACTACTAATAATAATAATAATAATAACAATGTTAGCAAACATTTTGTACCAAACATTACCAAAAGACTATTTGAATCACAGTTCAGTTTGAGTTTTCACAATAAATTGAATCATAATTGAATTTAATCATTGTGAGATCAGAGATTTACACCCTTTTTTGAATAAATGACCTCCGGCCTATGCAGTTTGGTGTGTTGTCTGTTGTGTAAATAGTTCCTCCAGTCACATTTGTGCATTGAAAAAGAATAGAGCTGAATCAAATCGATTTGTAGTGAAATTTCATGGTTCTGAGTCATTTCCGAAAGAATCATTATCAGAGTGAGTCATCCTGTGATCAGATGATCACAGCATTAAGACGGTGAGTGTTGAGTGTCTCCATAGTAGTGAAAGTACTGATCTTTTCAAAACGTGTGCGTGTGTGTGTGTGTGTGTACGTGCGTGTGTGTATGTGTGTGTGTGTGTGTGTGTGTGTGTGTGTGTGTGTATTCTGATGAACTCTCACTGTGTGTGGACGAACACTCTTTCAGAAGGCCATCTGCACTTTCAGACACTCTGAGAAACCTGCTGTTTGACTGAGCGGACAGACAAAGTGGCAGTATAGGTGATTTTCTCTCTCTCTCTTGCTCTCCCTCTCTCTCTCTCTCTCTCTATCTCTTGCTCTCTCTCACGCTCATCCCTGCGAGCGGAAATGAAGGATGAAGATAGATGATTGAAGCAGATGGAGGAGGGAAGAGTGAGTCAGGAGAGCGAGCCACTGAAAAGACAAAAAGGAAAAATGAGGGAGAGATTTACAAAGAGGTGCATCAGCATATTCAGAGAGAGAGAGAGAGAGAGCGTGAGAGAGAGAGAAAGACAAAACGAGAGAGTGGGTGAGGGTGAAAGAGAGAGGAGGAAGGAAAATAGAGAAACAGAGAGATAAATTGCGAGAGAGAGACAAAAAGGTGAGATAAATTGAGAGAGAGTGAGAGAGAGAGAGAGAGAGAGAGAGAGAAAGACTAAAAGGTGAGATGAGAGAGAGAGAGAAAGGTGAGATAAATTGAGAGAGAAATCCAAAAAAAACAGCAAGTAAAGGTGAGAGAGAAAAACAGCATGTGGGGAAAAAAAGAGTGAGACAGAGTGAGTGCTAGAGCAAAAGAGAGAGAGAGATCGAAAGAGTGAGGGAAGGCAAGGGAAGAGAGAAACAGAGAAAGCGACTGAGGGTGACAGAAAAGAAAAAAGAAATTGAGAGAGGGACTGAACATGAGTGATGATGAATATGTGGAGAGAGAGAGAGAAACTGAAAGAGAGAGAGAAGAAAAGCAGAGAGAGAGAAAAGGGTAAAACAAATGCAGATAGACAAAGAGAAAAAAGGAAAGCAGAGAAAGAGAGAAAGAGAAAAACAAATAGAGCGTGAATGAGTGAGGGTGAGAGAGAACTATGTATAGAGAGAGAGAGAGAGAGAGAGAGAGAGAGAGATAATAGAAGCCCATCATGTCTCTTAGCGGGGAACCCTCAGCTACTGCAGTAAGGAAATGAAGAAGGAGACCTTACATCACTCCCTCATCAATGCAGAACATGGGAAGTGGCCTGCAGGCTCACAAACACCAACCCCACCCAAGCCTGGCATCCATCAGTCACTCTCTCTCGCGCGCTCTCTGCAGCCTCGGGCGCCCGAACATGAGGCTGAAAATGATGTGCACGCATAAACGATTCTGTCAGCTCGAGGAAAAACATCTTCAGTGTTGACGAGTACAGAGGAAAGGAACTCTCGCGATTTACATATTTCCCATGAAATTAAGCGGATAGGCTACTGGAAACACTTGAATTCAGTCTCAGCCCTGAGGGCCCAGTGTGTTTCTGAGGCTTGCGTCCCGTGACCTCACCCCCCATCTCGTCTATTTTTGACAAAATATTAACTGACAGTCAAAATTGTGATCGATGGGGGGCCCTGAGTGCTACAGTCATCTGAGCATTGACCTTGTCATCGGGAGATCATGAGTTCGATCCCTGGTAATGCTGCAGCCATCTGTGGCCCAATGTGCAAGAGGGCACAATTGGCCTCACTTTCTCTGGATGGCCCTCCCTCTCCCCCATCACTCAGCGCAGTACTAGCCAGCACATGCGTCTGTTAGCTGACGTAACAGAATTGGTGGTTATTGTCTTCTTCCAAGTGCTGTTGACGTTGCATTAGCAGCAGTTCGTAAGGTTGCGGTGGCTTTGCTTCACATGACTCAGAGGAAGCTTCTGTTTGGCTTTGCCTTCCTACTGCTGGTGGTATCAGATCCGGTTTATGAGGAGCCTGGCCTCTTCATATTTCCACCGTTATATCAAAAACAGGACTGCATAACAACTACATTTACTTAGCAAAACTTAGCAAAAACTTAGCAAAAAAAAAATGGCCCCAGTAATAAACTGAAAACTGAACTAAGGTAAGTAAAAGTACTAAAACGTGACTTTTGGTTTATGTAGGTTAGTGTTTTGTTTAAATCAGCATTTTGCTGTATACCTCTTCTTTTGGATGACAGCTTGAAGTCTTCTGGGCACGGAGTGCAGTTTCCACAACTGATGCTCAGCCAGGCTTGTTGGGTGTTCTGTTTTGGATGGTCAGAGCGTAGCAGGTCTGAAACATGTCCAGTCTCTGTCCACAGCTGCATGTTTCTCTCTTGATTTTGTCATCTGTAATCTTTCTCACAGACATTTTATCACCAAGAGGCAATGTTTCTTTGTCAGATTAATTCAACTCAGTATTCATATTTTACTTTTCTAACTTCCTCTGTCTTTCAGAACGGTAATGAGATCTCTGGTTTATACTGTAGCCATGGATTAGTGCCCCAGTGGTTATTTTGAAGTAAATGTTTTCTAGCTTGCTATTGCTTAGTAGTTCTATTGCTCAGCTAAGACGCTAGAATTGTCCCAAATCTACTTTTGAGCACTGTACATCTGATCATGAGAGTTTTAACAGTGTTATTCTAATGATAAACAGTCTTTCAGCTCATGATTGAAGCTTGTGCCCAGCAGAATATGTCATCCACTGCATGTGTAATATCTCCACTTTTTGCGCGACCCTCCCTCAAATGCATATGGATGAAGAAGAGAGTGCATTTTGCATTTTGTCCAAGCAGACAGCTCATAAACTGCCCATTTAGGTTTGTGTGCTGGTTTCATAAATAACACATGGGCAGAATACATTCAGTTGTGCCTACATTCACTGGCCACTTTATCAGAAGCTCCTCCCATATAGGTTTGTAGGCTTACAGACTGTAGCTTTTCTGTTACTGCACAGTTTTTCACCACTTCAATGACCGCTGTGCTGAATATGCTCGTACCAGCACCTCACACGTTACCATGTTAGAGTCACGGCTGTGCTGACAATAGACCTCCATCCAGATCATTTCTGGTCAGTGATGGTCCTACGGTGGTCCCTTTCCGCTGATGGACGGGGTAGAAGATGATTAAATAGCAGTTACAGCAAAATCAAGGAAAGCGTTTTCACAAAGTTTCTGTGTAAATGTGGTTTTGGATGCATCTGACCCTGGATCTTGTGTGTGTGTTCTGCAGATGTGTCGGGTGAGGGCAGTCAGAGTGGTGGTCAGTTCCAGGGTCGTCCGTCTGAAGTGTGGTCCCAGTGGCAGAGCCAGCATCACAGCCAGCAAACTGGAGAACAGCATACACACACTCAGCCCAGCCAGTCCGAGGTGTTCCAGGTAATAACATACATGCACACACACACACACACACACACACACACATTTTATACCTTATCAGGATGTAGGGACACACCTATGTCCCGTATACAGCCCTGTTCAAACAAGTTGGGGCGCTGTGCAAAATGTAAATAAAAACAGAATACAATGATGTGCAAATCATTTAAGTACCTTTATGTAATAATAATATGGTCCATATATATTAAATGCATGTAGACATCTATATTTAATAACACATATAAAGTAAACACAGATGTAATAATAATATGGCCCTTATGTATTATAGATTTGTAACTATATATTTATGATAATAATATTCCCAATATGCCCCATATATATGTATAAATATGTAATTATGATGTACCCCATATGTATTATATGTGTAAGTACCTATATGTAATAATAATATGCCCCATGTGTATTATATGCATGTAAGTATCTATATATGCATAATTAATAAGACTTTTCTAAGCCTAACCGTAAATCTAATCTTAACCTCAGGAACCAAAAACAAATGATTTTTAAAAACTGAAACATGGAGTCAGCGGCATTTTGTTTGTCTTGTAGGTTAGCCTTGTTTTTCAGTGCTTTAGGATATTTTGTCCAAAAAATGTACAAAAACAGCATCTCAGGATTATTTTAGTGTTAAATACATGTGGGTTCAATCAGCCAACTGTCCAGTTCAGTTCAGCTGTAAGTGCAGGATGTTAAAAATGAGTTGTGTTGTTTTTGGAGCTTCATCTCAAACACATGAGGGACAGAAGGAAAGGAAAGATCAGATAAACAGAACTTGTTTTTGCTTCAGCGACCTCCCACACAGAGGACCTCCACTTGGACCACTATTAGCTCCTAAATTTACTGTCCTTCACTATCCAGTACATCATACACTGCTACATTACCTAAACATACTCCAAAGCCTGTCCAACCACTCTGAGGCTTTTCAAGGTGAAGCCCATTCTGACCATTTATTTTCTACTTCATTGCTCACATAATGTAAACCCTGAATGCCCTGGTGTGGTTTTCTCATTGTAGCACATGTAACATATGTAACAGGTTTTACTCTTATGTAGGGTTGCATCGATACCAATACCGCCTCGATACTGGCACTTAAACGCAGTATCGTGTTGTGATGGGGATACTGATACCACAAAGCAGCCTGGAAGGAACTGCCGGTCTCTGCCTTTCTTGGTTTAGCCTTTAGCGTATCAGCCCGCTTCCCAGGTCTGTGTGTCCACTAGCCCTGCCTGCGGTGCACCTCTGTCGGCCAGTTGTCATCCCGCAGCGGCGGAGTCTCGCAGTCTTTTACTTTAACAAAGCTGAGAAATCTGCGGCTTAACTGCTGCTGATGGTGTGAATGACTGTTATATTTGATACACTCCAGCACCCGGAGATGTAAGTTCAAGTGAACAGGACACATAGATGAGACAAATGACTTGTGAAATTCAAAAGTGAAAAAAACATTCAACACCATTTTGGCGAGCCAGAGAAGCTGCTGCGTGCTAACATGTACAGATACAGGTTTAACTACATATCGTACAGTTATGTTTTTAACTGTTTTGCACTATAAAAATATTTTGCATTTACTTCAGTTGCTAAATATGGTTCTTATTACTAATTGTATAATAGGAAATATTACTCATATATCGTAAATAAATAAAACTAGGTTAGTCTACATCTACAATGTTTTGTGCATGAGAAGGAACATTTTTTTACAATGATATGGAAAACACAAAATAATATGCAAACATAATAAATGCATTCAATTTACATTCTTTATAAACTGGTCTGAATCCTCACTTTTGACTTTTTTCTGTTAAAATATCTCCTCTTCTGCCTACAAACACTAATGTGGTATGGATTGAAAGTTTAGAATCTGCACTTTCCACACTTGTCTCAATGAGCCACGAGTGATAAACGATATATATAAAACTGCAACATGGCTTGTTATTCGCTACGACTTATAAGGGTTAAAATTGTAAGCAGTTTTAAAGTGGAATTCCACCAATTTTTCAAATCTCTGCATTATTCAGAGTGGTTTGATATAAGTGGTTTATTGTAGAGAAACTTACTGACTCATGTCTTTACAGTGGTGGTGATAGGAACCAGGGGACACCATGACAACAACACAAATATAGACAATTTATTTACTATCTAGTGAACCTACACGTGTCTTCTGAGTTTTATATGGAATCTTGATGATAATTGTAAATGTAAAATAGTGGTAAAAGTGGAAAAAATGCTATATTTGGGGTCTATTTTGCATTACAACATTTCTCTCCACCATGAAGAGATTTTAAAATACATTTAAGGCCAAAACTTTTATTTAAAACTATTGTAAAACAAAGTCTCAGACTTCACACAGCGTATTCATAACCATTTAGAGAATTCATTACCACCTAGCCTTGCAGTACCCCTGTCTTTCATATTTCAGTCTGTTTTCCCTGCTCTAGCACACCCACTTCAGCTCAGTAAGGGATTGTTAATGAGCTGAGTAGTTGGATCAGGTGTGCTGGGAGCATGAAAACACTGAAATGAGCAATGGGTACTTCAGGAACAGCACTGGGAAACAAAGGTTTCAAGTAATAACTTTCTGTGAGGAAAGTTCTTTTATAAGCATTAAACTCTTCAGATGTCTGGTTCCTATCACCACCACTGTGAACAATTCTGACTCGGCAAGTTTCTCTAGAACAGAGCATTTCACACCAAACCACTCCGAATGACTCTGTTTACATCTTAACAATTTAATTATATAGAAAATTAAAACAGAATTCCCCCTTTAAGTGACCTTGTTTAAAAATCTTCTCATTTTGTTGCAGGATATGCTGCCCATGGCTGGTGACCCCACCCAGGGAGCGGCCAACTACAACATAGAAGATTTTGCTGACCTGGGCATGTTCCCTCCATTTTCCGAGTAACTGTGGATTGAACTTTTTTCAGGGTTGTTTTTTTTTTCTCTTTCCATGACTGCAGTATCGTCATCATTATCATCATCATCATCATCAGTCGCACTCACGCACATGAACAGTTTTGCATAAATGAGAAAATGTTACTGCACAAGTTGTTACGATGTTTGGATGCCATTGCACACACAGTCCACGTTCTGGACCATTTGACTGTCTATCTGATACACACCCATACATACAGTGCAAAAGGCTGAGACCCCTGCTCATTTGCTTAATTTCCAGTCAAGTACAAGTTCATTTTTCAGCATTAGGGAAAATAAAAAAATGCATATTTAACAGAAAATTACACAGAAGCCTCAACAACTAAATATAATATCAGATTTTTCAGTATTTATTGTGTCCACTCTTCACCTTTATTCCAGCTTCCATTCTTTTCAGGTGACTCACTTTCAGTTTCTCAAAGAAATCTGCAGACACACCTCCAAAGTTCAGTCTTAGAAGTTGGTTGATCATTTTCTGAAGTAATCAAACACATTCAGTGATGTTGAGGTCTGGACACTGGGGTGGTCAGTCCATTGTTCAGCTTCTTTGTTTGATGTGTCCGTCTCCTTTTCTCAGTGAGGCTTCTTGACAGCTACACATCCTTTCAGATTCATAGCGCTGAGTTGTCGTCTCACAGTAGAAGGATAGACAGAAACATCTGTGGATGTTTTCAGTGCTGTTTATCTGACGGGGACAATTTTGGTGTCTACCAGGTCTTCCAGGTGGTTGTTAGGAGCCCCATTTCTCTGTGGCTTTTAGTCTTTTAATTTTTCTTTGGACTTTCCCCTTCCTTACGCAAATGGAGTATTTTCTATCTAATCTGCTGTCCTGAACTTGTACTTAACAGCTTGTTTTGACTGTAAATTTAAGAAATGAAGGATGGCCCCTGACTTCTGCACAGTGCTGTGCACACATATCCAAACAGTCCTCTTGTCAAGACTGGTTTTGCACAGATGGGTAAGTATCCTTTGAGAGCATATGATATGAAATGACGCAGGTGTTCTGGTTTTGACATGTTATCATGTAAGATAAGTATTTTCAGCGTCTTTTCCATAACAAGAAGAGACTTTTTTTATCATTCAGTGTTTTTTTCTTCCCTCGTACACCATTTTACATTGCCAAATGGCATCTGTCTGACAGAACGTGCCGAGAAAACTGAACATTGCACCAGCATAACACGATGCAGCATTACGCTTACTGTGGAGAATATAGTCTATGTAGTGATGTCCATGATATTAGCTGAACTAATACTAGTCGTAGGTGGATATATAAACAAAGTGTTACATTTAGAGGCTTTTTTTATTTCCCTTTCCTTTTCCTTGATTTAAACAAAAGTCGCTGAACATTCAGGCTTCAAGTGCTCTTCATAAAAAGCTACGGTCACCAGCCTCGCAGCAGGAAAATGTGTAGAGCATCGCAGTGTACGTATCGTAGTCTTCGTGGCTGCAGCAATTCTTTGTGACTTACTTTTTCGACTAACGACATGGACTTTTACGGTCTAGATCTTTTACACGATTAAACTGTGTATCGACATGAAGGACTGATGGGAAAGACTTGAAACGGATGAAAAAAGAAGACCCTTTTTTGCTAAATCATGGATGTTTTTATGTAAATAATGTGATTTTTATGTCGGATCATGATCTTTTCTTTTCACAAACACCGCTACATGCGTTCTCGTGTAGGTTTAATACCATCGTGTGCAATGTGAGTACGTATTTAACTCTCGGTATTTAGTTAGCCTGTTAATTGTACAATGAGTTTAGACCTGTATAAATTGTGTAAATGTGTTCCATTATTTTTGTGTAACTTTATGGCGACAGAATTGTGCTTGTGACAATAAACTCTCATTGAATATGTGGCTTTCAATCAAATGTGTTCGTTTCGTTTTTCCTCTTTTATCAGAGTCTTTTTCTTAGATCCTTTATTTAATAACAGCGAGTAAGCGACCCCGACCAATGGATCAAAGACAAAATGACATGTTTCCTCTCGCTCTCGCGCTAAACGAATGACGGGGTCCTGTCTCCCCAGAGATTTACAATAACAGCATGATGGAGGTGGAATAAGAAGAAGGAAGCAGTGAGGAGGGCTGTGGGAGGGTCTGCTCCGCTTCTCTACACCACGACTGTTTGACCAATCACGGTGGTTTCTTGTTGTCAGGAGGTTTTAATATAGGCTTTGTTTAAACCGGCAGCTCAGATCTGAGTTTTTGGCACATCTGATTCAATCAGGATAGAGATATATTTTGTGGTTTTGAAGATTTCTGAAAAACACTGTTTTTTTGGTTTATTCAGTCATTCAGTGTGCTGCGCTGCTTGATATCAGAATGTGTGACAACAAAGCACATGAAAGAGCTGCATCCCTCACAAAACTGCCATATATTTTTCCACATGTGAGCTGTCTAGGAACATCGTGTGATGTCATGCCTTGAAATTCCACATGATCAGGCTTCTTGTCACATGATTGCACATTTTCACGTGGTCGCGTTTTTCTCACGTTTTTTCTCACGTTTTTCCCCACATAGGTGAGTGAAAAATATTGTGAGATGTCTAAAAACCTTGTGTTTATTTCCATGTGATTTTTTTCTGCCAGGGGTGCGTAAAGCATTGGCTAATAAAGCAATAAGCCTCTTGAGGCCTTGCTTTACTGAGATTCTATCACAAGTAACTGGTGTTCTATTGCTACGTTCATGACTGAGTGGGAACAGGGAAATTTCCGAGTTCCAAGTAGGAAAAAATCCACTTGGACATTCCTCAAACTCAGAATTCCCACTCGGAAAGTCTGAGTTTCTAAAGAGCTCCACTTCCTCAGAGTTGCTAATCTGTAATGCCACTCCAATATAACAGCACCCACAGATCAAGAGGTAATAGGGTTAAACAGACTGTTGAGTTTCTGCTTGTGTAAGATGTCCATAAACACTTGGACATATATAGCACCAAACAGGGTTCTTCTGTTATTACAATCTTAACATCATAACAATACAAGAACGCTTTTTGGTGATATATAGAACTCTTTTCAAAAGGCTTCTATATAGAGCCATACACAACACATCATCCATCAGTCTGAAGAACCATTTCACAATGCAAAGAACAATATAAGCATGAAATGTTTCTATATAGAACTCATGGTTCTAGATAGAACCATTGCCTTTATTAAAGAACCCTGTTTTAAGTGTGTGCTTTTGCCAAGCAACCATGGACTGCTGATAGAAAACAAGGACAATAAGAAAATCTTTTTCCATTGACCCTGCATTAAGAATCAAAGAAGTTTTTTCCTTCTCCTGTAAAGCTACCATTTTGGAGGTCGGAGGTTTTGTTGTGAGAGTAACACTGTGGTTCTGATGCTATATGACATATAGTTATGTATAAAAATGGACAAAAGTGTGTGGCCCAACTGACAGCGGCCACAGCCTTCATGAAGTCTGACTAGGTCTCCAGAATTTGTCCTATTTTGAGCATGCAGTTTGCACAGTGCTAAACTAGCAGCAGAAACACTTCACTTGAAGGCTACCTACATAGGCACTACATAACACATTCATAAGCACTAAATAACATATTTTTTGAGCAATATTTGAGTATTTATGACCAGCTTATGCTAGTAACCACATGAAGACATAAGGGTAACACTTTCTTTGAAGGGTGTCTACATAACACATTCATATCACCTTACATAAACACTTCATAACATGTTGATGAATGCTTAAATCAACATTAATAAACTATACATGTTTTACATGATATTAATATGGACTACGTCATTTTACCGAAAGATGTTTTTCATAATAAAAGTCCTCATTTTATTTATTATTTTCAGTGAAAATCCCTTTATCCCTTTGGATAGAATGTGTTTTGACACTTTTTGCCTAGACTTTCAACTTTTTTTTTTCTCAAGCATTTGTATTTTGCAATATGCTATTCTTTCTGCTTTTTACACTAATTATTCATATATAAAATGTACTGTTCATTCAACACTCTATACATTATTGTGGAAAATGTTACCTAAACTAAGTTTAACTTTCTTGGGGTAAATGCTAACACTGTTATCCCAATTACTTTGGAGGTTTTATTTTTAGTGAGGTTTTTCCTCACTTACGGTTTAGGAGAAGGCACAAGTATAACTGTGCATTAGTTATCCTGTGTAACTGAGGTTAAATGTGACAAGCACTGTTATCACAAGGAATGATTCCTTTTTTGGCATTACGTCAAAGTACAATCGAGTGGTGCCTCTTTGACTTTCCTCACTCAGTGTGCTGATAATTTTGTAAGAAATGTCCTTTATAAATTTGCCTTGCTTTGCCTTCACCATAAAAGTGATGGAAGTCACGTTGTCCTCACTAAAGTGCATGTTACATGAATGGATGGATCTTGAATGGATTGGATAAGTATTATAGACCTGTCCCACCACCACAGAGAGTTTGAGACTTGATTGACTGTTCATAGCATATTTATGAGTAATTCACTGTCCATATAGTAAAGTGACATGCAGGACAACATTCATAAGTGATTCATAGCATTTTAAGAAGCTGTTAATATACCATATAGTAAAGTGACATGCAAAGCAGCATTCGTAAATGATTCGTAACATTTTTAAGAGATGTTTACAGACCATGTGTATAAATAGTGATAGTGATTTACAATTAAATATCTACAATTATGTTCCCTACCTTTGCAGCAAGACCCAATGACTGTGAAAAGGAGTCAATAAACACCACAAGTAGGAAGGTCCTTTTTTTATTGGCAAGACCTCTGTTCAGAACAGGCACTTAAACATGCTGCTCAAACTCAAATCAGGAAACTACAAACTCTTCTGAACATGGAACTGCAAAATACAGATGTGTTCAATAAAATCTTCAACTGTTTTCTAAAACGAAAAATAAAACACACCATCTCATGTGGCCATTACTTAAGGGGTATTGCCTTCACGTTGCTCTTCTTGCTCTTCTTAGACTGAAATTATTTCTAAATTCTCTAAAAAACAAAACAAAAATATGAAGAAAATAAACAAAACGGCACAAGTTACTGCAAGAGTCTGAAGATATCATGATACTGGCACTGCTGCTGGCTGTCTGTCCTGTTCTGGCTATACAAAGATCAAACAGGAGCAGTCAGATGTGTGGAGCTCTACACGTACAGGATAAGCCTATTTAGACTGGAAGCGCATGAACGTTATGTTAGTGGGCTAGACAGACTGCCATAGCAGAGGTATGATATATAACTAGCAATATAGCAGTTAAATTAGCTACTTTGCTTATAATCAGTAACTGTAGCCAAGAAACTTTGCTAACTAGCTAGCAGGCTAACGCTACCTTACATTAGCTATTAAAATGCATCAGGCTAATGTTAACGTCACCTAATTAG